TAGGCAGAAAGAACCAAAATCGTAATTCATAAATTGACAAATCTTATTCGTTTTGCAGATGCGTATGATGAGGTAATTTAACTTAAGCACACAATTTTTTTTATATAAATTGTCTTGAATATCTTTAGATTTGTGTATAATACAGATTTATCAGTTTGGTCTGCAAATATCGCTTCATCCATTGAAGTTTAACGGAATGGGTTTATTTTATTTTGGATATAAGTTCGTCCGTTCGGTTAGTTTTTAATAATATTTATTTTTATTACTAAATAAACTCAAAAAATGTTATTTCTTTCAATTTTCAAGAACGGTAAAAAATAACATTTATATAACATTTGCTTTCAGTTTGCTGTCTGGGTTTTTACTATTGTTCTTCTACTGGTGCAAGTGGACACCTTTGTATTAAACACATCTTCTAAAATAAATGCGAGAATGTGTTTTCAATAAATAAAAAACACTTTTTAGGACTTTTTGTATTTCTTTTCTTTACTACTTTCGTACGTCTTAAGATATATAATTTTTTTATTCTTTTAAAAATGAGGCACATATATATTGTAAAAATATATATTAATCGTAGACCATTGCTGCAGTGACAGTATGTTGTCGTATTGTCCAGTCATGCTATATTGATGTAGTTTTTATGTCGATTTTATATTATATTTTTTCTAATGGCTTTATGAGCAAAAAGTCGCACTTTTCATTATCATCGGGTCTAATACTGTCCAGCGATATCGACCGACTATGGCATTGTGTATATTTGCAGTAAAATTAAGTGATGCATGATGCGTCAAAGCATTATTCCAACTGTTAGTTTAGCCTTTTAAGAAATAGGTTCTACGTTGTCAGTTTAAGTTGAAACATACAATATCAGTTTACGGTAGGAACTGAGAGAAAGTGGTAACTATGACAATTGCCATAGATCAAGATGTACACCCTCTGTTTCTGATTTATTTACTTTTTAGTGTAGATGTTTATTACTAAAAGAAGCATTATTTAAGTCTTTGCTATAGATTAATAATGTGAATTATTTACGTTTCCTTCTTTTATTACACAGTGATTGCGTTTAAGGTCGAAGTGTTTTATTCAGAGGTTTTCTTCTTAACTAGCGTTTTGTTGGCCTTTCTAGTTGTGTAACATTCGTCATTCTTAGTGCATATCAAAATTAGATACATTTATGTCATATTTGTCTGTAAATATTGTAGTTTGTATATTTTTAATTAAAAAAAAAGGATAAAGGAAGATAGATAATTGATTCCCCTCAGGGTTACAATATTTTTTTCAACACTCCACTTCTATATCCACGATCCATTTGTATCCACGATCTATTTGGAGGCCCGATTCAGTTCGCTTTTCAATCGATAAACTCGACTTGAAAGAGACCGGCCCGGAACAATCCGACGGTGTGGATTCGAACTCGGGACCTCCCACTCGCAGCCCTCGCACTCAGGCCGCGAGACCACTGGGCCGGTTGCATATTTGTAATTATTAAGTTGTTTTCTTATATAGCAAAGATCTGTATGTATTTCAATATTGCTCTTAAGATTTCAGATATTTATGAAGACACTCGCTCTTGTAGACAATACGTTGACACAACTAGACATTTCAAACATAAAATGTAATACTTTCCGCAGATGTATAAAAAAATAATAATTGTGGAAATGAGTCGTATCATTATTACAAATAAATGTGACATGATATGGTAGATCTAGGCAGTAAGATAAATTCTTGGACTTTCTATTAACATTTATTACAATTTATGTGCATAATGTCAGTATGATAGTAGATGTAATACTTTTGATTTCTTTTGTGGTTTGTATAGTATTCAAATTATTTAAGTGTCACTAAAATTTAAATTTAGAAATATGATGTTTTATTATATTACATGTGTATATAGGCAAATCCACCGTAGTTTTATCTTTTAAATAAAACTTATTTATTTTGCGGATATGCACAAAATGTTAATACAAATTTAACAATTTACTTTTGAAAATAACTGTTTTCTTGACTACTTCTAATTTATAATAATATGCGTTATAATACAGATTTATTAGTTTGGACTGCAACTATTGCTTTACCCAATGAAGTTCAGCAAAATGGTTTTATTTTATTTTGCCCACAAATTTCTCTGTTTGGTAAGTGTTTAATATCATTCCAGCACTAACAATAAATAAAAAAATATTAGTTTTCTTCGGTCAAAAATTTTTAACAAAAATATTTATAACATTTTCTTTCAGTCCATTGTCTGAACTTTCATTGTTTTTCTTTTAATAATGCAAGCGGACACGTTTTGTATACAAAGATCATCTAAAACAAATGTGTCATAATGTTTTTTTTTTAATAATTGTATTTGTTAGGGTCGTACATTATCTATTTAGCTTTATACATGTAAAATTTTATTACTTTTGTAACAATTAAAACATGTGAAATAAAATATACAGCAAAACTTTTCTGTTCTTTCAATTATCAAATTACCTTTTTTCAGANATATTTCTTATCGGTATCATTCTTTTTTATTTTTATTTTTTGATACTAATCCAATAAGCAAACCTTTCATACTGCTCATGTATGATCAATATAAGAAAGAGTTTAAAGTTGATATAGACTGAAAAAATATTTCTTGGAATATGTGCCAAGGTGATTTGTGGAGNTTTCACTGAATTTACGCTTTTAGAGACAATTTTTGATACACTGGTGATTTCATTTTTGAGGCACAAGTTTTAACACCTTAAATTGGCGTTTNTATGTTTGCTACAACTTCAGTAACTCAGTCAATTAACTTAACGGCGCGTATGTATATTGTTATCTCTACGAAAATTAATATTTTGCAAAGCTAGAAGGATAAGTTTTTCAACGGCCACCATTTTATACAGTTACATGGCACATGATTGACTTCCAGGAAAAAAATGTATAAATGCAAGAACTACGAAAGCGTTATACAACACGGCGCAGATACAAAGTTATTAAGAGTGAAACACAAATTCGAAAAAGACCAAATAAATTTTATGATTTTTTATAGTTTTACCACCTTAGTGTACTTTTAAACGCCAGCACTAACACAAAAGCTCTGCATTCTTATACACAGTTATTACTAGAAAGTGTAAAAAACCTACTACGTTTTGTATATGAAAAATAACTCAGATTTATCACTANTAAAAAGTTCATCAAAAGTTAAAATTATCGTGGATTTGGCCATATAACATATAAATAACATATAAATATGTGAATGTATTATTTTCATCACATCACATATTACATACTTATGAATGCGATCAAAGTTTTAGTANAAATGTTTCGAAGCGTNGGTATCTCTTTCTTCTCCATTTAACGAAANATAAAGATANAGCAATGANTCAAAACATTTTGCAGAATGGTATCGATNGCATCNTATATTACATTAATACAAAATTGTTAGTNNTTTTANCTTTCTCAATTTACCAAATTACATATATTTAATTTAAAGATAATCACATTTGCATAGTTATACATCATAATATCTAAATGATGTATGTATCTCTTTCTTTCTCT